CGGGCCGGGGCCGGGGCCGGGGGCGGGACCGGGCCGGGGGCGCCGCTCCTTGGGGCGCTGGCCTGGGCCGGGCCGGGCCCCCATCTCTGATGCCCCCCCCCGCCCCCGCAGCAAGCACGTGCTGACCGAGGACATCGTGCACCGCGAGGTGACGCCGGACCAGAAGCTGCTCTCCCGGCGGCTCCTGACCAAGACCAACAGGATGCCGCGCTGGGCCGAGCGCTTCTTCCCCGCCAACGTGGCGCACTCGGTGTACATCCTGGAGGACTCCATCGTGGACCCCCAGAACCAGACCATGACCACCTTCACCTGGAACATCAACCACGCACGCCTGATGGTGGGCGGCCGGGCTGGGCCGGGCCGGGGGTGTCTGCCTGGGCAAGGAAGGGCTCCCGCCCCCCGGGACGGGGCTGGAGCTGCGGGCAGGGCTCACGCCGCACCGTCCTCTCCCTGGCAGGTGGTGGAGGAGCGCTGCGTTTACTGTGTGAACCCAGAGAACAGCGGCTGGACGGAGGTGCAGCGGGAAGCCTGGATTTCCTCCAGCCTTTTCGGCATCTCCCGGGCCGTCCAGGTCAGTGTTCGTTCCCAGGGTCCCCATGCACGGCCGGGACGTGGCCCTCCAGGAGCCCAGCGTGCCGCCCAGACAGCCCTGGTGGGATGGGGGCAGGAAGCGCTTGGAAGCTGATCTGCTGCTGGGACCGCTGGGTCTGAGCTGCAGCCTCACAGCGTTTCCTGTTGCAGGAGTTCGGCCTGGCCCGGTTCAAGAGCAACGTGACCAAGAGCACCAAGGGCTTCGAGTACGCGCTGGCTAGGATCCAAGGTGCGTGTGCGTGCGGGCGGGGCTGGTACCGGCTGGGCGTGTGGATTGCTGCTGGCCACGCTGCGCTGCGGGAGCAGCTCTGCCTGCCGCAACACCAGCTCTGCCGGCCTGGGTGGTGGAACCTGTGCTGTCAGGGCAGGGAGTTACTCAGCCCTCCCGGTGCAGAGGGGAAGCTGTCCCTGCCCTCCGGGGGCGGAGGCGCCCAGGCGGTTACAGGTCAGTGACTCATTGCAGGGGAAGCTCCATCCAAAACACTGGTGGAGACCGCAAAGCAGGCAACGGAGAAGGCCAAGGAGACGGCCTTAGCAGCTACAGAGAAAGCCAAGGACCTGGCCAGCAAGGCAGCCACCAAGAAGCAGCAGTACATGTGAGCTCAGCTCCACCTGTTCCTCCCCCCAGACAGGACCTCCGTAGATTTTATATTTTTTAATCAATGTTGTACAAGTCTGACAATCAGTGATGGAGAGCGCCTTCCTGAGATGTAATTATCATTAAACATTCAACTCCCTGAGGCTTGTTTTGGCTGGGCCTGGCTGGCAGCGCAGGTCCATGTGTCACCCAGGGCCAGGGTTAGACTCCACCGGCAGGCTAGGGAGGGCGTGGGCTGCTGGAAGCAGGAGGCCAAGTCCCAGTCCCGGGGACGAGGGCTGGGGCTGTGATAGCGGGTGCAGCTCTCCAAGAGAAGCTGGCTTTGGCCCCCCTGTTCCTGTTGCATTCAGCAATGTCCTGGCAGCAGAGGGAGGCGCTTGGGTGCCTACAGCCCCTGCTGGCGCTCAGCCCTGTGCAAGCAGAGGAGGCCTGACAGGGCGTGGGGCATCGCTGCTGCCTGCCTGCTTGCAGGGCGGCATTTTCTGAAGCGGTTCCAGTTCCTGCCACCCAGAGCAAGAGCCCCCACCTTCTTCCCTCCCCCTCAGTGCACCTGTGGCTGTCAGAGCATGCAGCTCGGTCCCAGCAGCTGGCAGCGGTTGAAAGCAGGGGCAGGCTCCTCCCACCGCATGCCTGGGTGGTGGGGTATATGCAGGGGGTGCCCACGCTGCTCCAGGGGATGCGGCTGATGGGTCTTCAGGGCTCCTCCCAGGCCCATGGGCTCAGCAGGGTGGTGGGCAAGGAAGCGGCGCGCCCATCTGGACCAGGGCTCCTTGGGCCTAGGCTGTGGCAGCCTGGCTGGGTGCCATCATAGCCACGGGCGATGGGTGCTGGAGTAGCTGTGCTCCCTGCCGGCACTGAAGCGGGCCAGCATATCCCCCTCGCTGCTGTCGAACACGGTCATTTCCACGTCGATCTCCGCATCCTCTGCGCGAGGAGGCAAAGCCTTGACAGGTCCTGCCGGGGAGGGGCTTCCCCTGCTCAGACCCCCTCCCCCCACAGGGGTCCAGGTGGCCCGAGGTGCTGGGGTACGCGGCTGCCTGCCCGCCCGCCCGCCCAGAGCTGGAGGGGGTGGTCTGGGGCCCGCAGCCACTGACCTTGGT